TATTGATTATATATTTAATAATATATATTTTAAGTTATATTAATTAAGATAATTGTATTAATATTTAATTATTAATTATGCAATTAAGTTAAATTATTTAATTAATTTATTTAATTATTAATAATTTTAATTAATTTATTTAATTTATGCACTAAATTACAATTAATTATTTAATTAATTTACTTAAGTATTAATAATTTAAATTATATTAATTATGTTAATCAATAATAACTTACAGGCGATAGGGTTTGCCTTTCATCTTCTCTTTTCGTCATTGCTGTTCGGCTCCGTTGCTTTCGCAGGAGGTGTAGAGATTGCAGGCGTCGCTTCTTCGGCTCCCTGTTCGACTTCGCTCCTGCGACGACTTCAACCCGGATCGGAAGTTACGGCATTTTGATCGGAAGCAAGAACGGGAGCTCGCTGGCTGTGAAGGTAACTTTCTTCCTTTCGCGCGCTTCTTCGGATAAATCCCGCTCGGATTTACTAAATCCGGCTACCCCTCGGATTTACTAAATCCCGGATTTAAGCTGTAAATCCGGGATTTACTGAATCCCGGGATTTAACGCGCGTACAAAAACTGTTTGGCTGGATTTAGCGTAAATCCGACTTAAATCCCGCTGTAAATCCGATACCAAACAGCCCCTAAATAGCGATTCATTACTGTTCGCCTGTTCCCCTACTCGCTCGACGACTGAGGCAGCGGCTGTTCCCCTACTCGCTCGACGACCGAAGCATCCCATCCGCGGCGAACTCCTCCGACCATCCCAGCCGCCGGCTTACCGTGAGATTTAAATTTGTTTTTTTTTTAACATTTTTTTTCTCTCTTTGAATTAGTTGGATGACTTCCTTTCTTAATAACAACAGCACGATCATCCTAGCCGCCGGCGAACTCCTCCGACCATCCTAGTCGCCGGCTTACCGTGAGATTTAACTTTGTTTTTTAGTGATCTTCCTTGTGACAAAAAAAAAAGCATTTGATTTTAGCTTTAAATTTGGACCTACATTCGATTTTTTTTTCTTTTTGGATCTTCCTACATTCAAATCTAAATGCTTCTTCGAATTTTTTTCCTATTTTAGTTTCTATTTCATTGGATTTCCATGTTATCTAATGATAGTTTTCTAAACACATTTTATAGTTTAACAAAATGTCCATGTGATTTAGCCATTAAATTAAGTATAATTAGAGCATACAACAACAACAACAACATCAAGCCTTTATCCCACTACGTGGGGTCGGCTACATGAATCCTTTTTCTCCATTGTGTCCTATTAAAAGCCAAATTCTCGTTTAAATCTAATAAAGAAAGGTCATTCCTAATATTTTCTAACCAAGTCTTTTTAGGTCTACCCCTACCTTTCTTAACACAAGTCAAATCTAATACCTCTACTCTCCTAACTGGGTCGTCGGAAGGCCGCCTTTTTATGTGACCAAACCATCTAAGGCGACTCTCTCTAATCTTATCTTCTACTGGAGCTACTCCAACCTTTTCACGTATATGCTCATTTCGTATCCTATCTCTAAGGGTAAAGCCACTCATCCATCTAAGCATCCTCATCTCTGCCACACTTAACTTAGTATTATGCTTCTCTTTTAATGGCCAACATTCGGCACCATAAAGCATTGCAGGCCTCACTACCATCTTATAGAATTTTCCCTTAAGTTTGAGGGGTACATTTCTATCACATAACAAGCCCGATGCATTCCGCCACTTCAACCATCCAACTTGAATTCTGCTGATAATATCCCCATCTATTTCACCATCACTCTGAGCATAATTAGAGCATAATTCTCATAATTCATCTTAATCCCAAGGTTTTCTAAATCTATGACAATTTTATTGAAATTAGTTATCTCTTCCCTTCAAACATCATAAGCCCAAATAGTTTACCCTTGTTGTGTATCCGATTTTGCAATTTTTTAGTCTTTTACATTTGCTCTAGCTTTAACCAAATTCCTGTAGACTATGAACCTCAATAGTGATCTAGTTGTTAAACTGTAACACAAATATACTATATTCCAACTCTATCATTTTGGCATGTCTACAGTCAAAGAACTCAACAAATTTCTTTCTCAATAAAAACTTTTGCTTCTTTCATGAACAAGAGATTTGACAAAAACTACACAATCCAGAATAACAATCTTTCCATTAAATAAAATTAAACTTTCTCCCTTTCAAAGATTATGCTCCTTTTACACAAGAACAATACCACTTGCTAATAAACTAATTTCATAGACTTGTAAAAAAAAAAAACATAAAACAATAAAATAGTAGGTCAAAAACTTTTTTAAAAAATCATGAAGGAAATAAGAATACATACTTGAGTTTGCCTCATGTAGGGCACTTCGAATACAAACTTCAACTTTCACCCAAAGAAAACATTATTTTTGTTGTAGGACTACTTGAATTGTTCAATGTAGATGATGCACCCATGTTTAGAAGTCATTTTTTTATGTGCTTGGAAGTCAATTTGCAATCAACAATATTTTTTATGTGCTTGGAAGTCAATTTTCAATCTTTAAATTCATAATGATAATAGCATGAGAATTGAAAATCTAATTTACATCTAAAAATTAATTCTCATTTTTTTGAAATGCAAGTAAGAGAATCAAAGAACTAATATAAATCTAATTTACATCTAAAAACTAGTTCTCATATTTTTAAATGCAAGTAATAAAATTAAAGAATTAATATACATCCAAATATACATTTAAAATAAGCAGCACTATGGTCATAATTGAAGGCGTCTATCAAAAAAACTACTACAACTACCAAAACTCTCAGAAAAATTGTGAAAACTATGAAAGAGGAAAAATATAACTGCCAGCGGCCAAAAGAAAGCCTCCTCTAAGCCAAGACTCGGATATATTTAAGATAAGCTTTAGAAACTTTCAGAAACAAGGAAGGGGTGATTCCCCTATTTGCCAAAATGGTCGTCCAAGAGTAAATGGTCTGGAATTAGGGGATTATCGTTATTGTCCAATGACAAATATAAATCTCATCAGACCACAAAAAAAAAAATTCAGTAGCATCAACATATGTCAGCCCACAAGTAACCAGCAGAGAAATAATCTAAACATTAGGCCACATATCAGAAGAAAAACCACGCCAGAAATAGGAAGCTCTGAGAAATGCATCATAGACAGCATAAAAAGGAAAGAAACATAACCACTAATAACCAATATAGAAGCATCCGAAATAAACAAGAAACCATCAACCAGAGATAACATAACTGGTAAAGAAAATTGCACCAATAAGTAAAATATCAGAGATTAATAACATCTTTGATATGCTGTCATTTTTTCCACCTTGAGATGAAGCTCCTTTTTAATAATGATGGAAACCATGTCAATGCTCGAAGATTTTGTAATAAGTACTCAAATTTTGTTAAGCTCCTTTTTAATAAAAAGGAAAGAGCCAAATTTTTGCTCTCAAGCGTCACTTTGTTGATTTGAGAAATTAACATAGAAAGAAAATGGAAGGAAAAGAACTAAAGAAAGAAGAGGAGGAATTAAAACTAGTAAAAGAAAGGAGAAAATAAAAAGGGGAAGAAATTACTTGGAGTTGACTCACCGCTTTAGTCGCGTGAGAGAGGGCCGGACCTAAGAGGGGCCTTTGCGCGGCTCTGTCTCTGCTCAGATGGGTGGACGACAAAGGAATTAGTGCGCACGGGCTTCGACTTGTCACCTGTTCGATCGAGTGAGGAAGAAGAGAGACAGACGGGCTAGGGTTTTTTAGCGTTATAACATGTATTATGTAATAAGCTTTTTAATATTCTAAAAATAATTATATATGAGGCGCCATGGCGCGCGCTATTTTGCGCCATTGACAGCTATGGGTAAACCCTAACATGAATGATTATTATTCTATTAGGGAATGGAGATTGCCATAAGATTACTATATTAAGTTGCTTAGTTTGAGCCTTGTGATTGGTGATTTAAGCATGAATAAATGTAGGATAAGATATTGTGAGAGTTCTTATTGTTATTAACTTTAAGCTATGATGTACTGACACTTCATAATAATGAGGCATGCCGTAGTATCTAATACATGCACTTGCTCGACATGGGTCACACCACCATATATGAGTCTAATTTAAAGAAATAAAAATTTAACAAACACACATATCTAATACCTTTGTCATGAATAATTAATTTTAATTTTAAAAATATATTGCCTAAATAACTTCAGCTAAGTCATCTCTCTTTTATTTTAACCATATTTTTTAAGACCAGATCAGTTGGCTAGTTCAGTTTCATTATAGACCCGGGCTCGCAAAGAACTAGTCAGAAACTGTTTGGCCCGGTGGTCGGACTGTGGAACGGGCGCCAGTTATAAAAAAGCGTTAGGTTCAATTAAATTAATTCATTTTTTTGAGTAAATGATCTCTTTGTAGTTGTAACTTTCAAGATGAATTCTAAATTTCTAATGTATGTAATAAACAATTGAACAGAATCATTTATTCAAAATTGGCACTAGTTTGCTTGTTTAGTAGTCGAACTGCCGGTTCGAGGGGGCGATATCTGGCGTCGTGCGAATCCGGTTATGTGGAAAGATCAAACTAGCCGACTGGCTGATTCCTAGTTGAACCGGCTGATCCGATCCGGTTTTTAAAATTATGACTACTACCATGAAACAACTTCATTTGATTGTATGTTGGCATCATTGTATTCGTATAATGTTTTTGGCATGCTTCTCATGTTTGTATATAGTTTTGTAAACAAGTTTTTGAAAGATTGAGCCTATTGATCATGTTATAAACATAAATCTTCCATATTATTGCATTCTTGATAGCTACTAAATGGAAATACTAAGTATTAGATGATGCAGTGATGCTCCTTGTGATTTTACCTTTACCAATATATGTGGCTAGTATGTTATTATTTTCACTGATGAGCATGGGCCAATGGGTCCATTCATGTGTCAAGGCTGGCAAGACATCAATGAAACTAATGGTTTCAACTATGAGGTGATGACCTCATCCATTGTTGGCTTCGCCTATACATTCCTAATGATTTTTCTTATATTGGTTTATTATGATATTATTATATTGATACATCCTTACAATATTTCATTTGAATTAATTATGACAGTGTATTGATAGTAATTTCATGACACTACTATTGATGATTCATTCTTAGTTTTTTTTTCTTTTTACATAGTGAATGCATCTCTTATAACTCATGTCATATATGTGTTGTGTGGTAGTTCATTCTATCATTGGTCCCATATAAATGATATGCCTCGTTATTGTTCCCATTTTTATTAAAATAATTTTGATCTTCCAAAGCTTCGCACTTCCGTAATTTTGTTGGTCAATTGTTAATTGTATATCGTGCAACAATTAGGTTTATTAGATTTCACTATTAGCAAATAATTAATGTGTATCTATGGAATTTTTTTTTTGCCGTGAAGAATTGTTATAATAAGGCATCTAGTTACTTATGTTGGATATTACTATGTGGTTATCAAGCTTTTAGATGCCCTTATAATCAGTGTATTGAATACATGTGGTTGTTAAGTGGGAAATATCTCCATCTACTTGTTAAACTATCAAAATATGTACACTCAGTTAGGCAATGCAATATTGATGTCCAAAAGAAAGAGATACTTGGCTTTTAAGATTGATATCACTTTTCCTTTAGTTATGAGCTTCAATCGTGACTAAATAAACATCTCAAAAGCCCCTTGAGAAGTTCGTGTCTATCAACAATGGCACGATAGTTTGTTAGATTTCAATTCCTATTGCAGTGGAGCTAACATAAATCTTCAAGTGTTCTTTGTTCTTTTTAGGGCACACATCCAATCCTAATGTGACGATGCTCATGCACAATCAAAGAGGTGAATCGGGTGTCTTAAAGTGATGTAGGCAAGCTACCCGTCCCTTTGGTCTTACTGTAGTTTTTTCTTGCTCATTAAAAGTTGTGTTGATGCTTCAGTCCCCCCCCCCTCCCCCCTCTTTTGATGCTTTGATTTCCACCGTGGCGGTTGTCCCTTCGGTACCCCGTGTAGTTTTTTTCCTTCCTCATGTTCATCTATGTTTAAGGAAGACAAGTTTGTTTTAATTTGCAATCTTAAATAGCTTTTTTTGTTTCATCAAGTTTGTATCAAAGCTTTGGTTTTTTGTGGATCTTCCTTTCTTTTTATTTAGAAAAAAAGTTAAAAATATGGACATTCATCGACAAGCCGAAGTTTCAAATCATGATTTAAAGGAGTCTCAAGAGGAATTTGATCTTGCGGATTTTAAAAGTCAGCATTCTATGTTAACTATTACAGAAGTGAAAATTCCAACAACCAAATGGATTTCGCCACAAGGATTATTAATCCACTTCAGAACGAACTTTACAAAGTACAAGAGAAAATGTATTTATGTGCTGAACGATATAAAAATAGGAAGTGTCTACTTCAAGCCAAGTTTAAACAAGAAAAAAAGATGATCAAAAGGAAGTATGATGCTTTATGTCAGGAATTAGATATGGTTCAATCAGCATATAATGGAGGTTCTGAAATTATCTCATCAGGGGATGAGATTTCTCCACATGGGGAGATTTGATATAGGCAAGCTAGCTGTCCCTTCGATCTTGCTGTAGTTTTTTCCCTGCTCATTAAAAGTTGTGTTGATGCTTCGGTCCGCCCCCTCCCCTTGGTGCTTCGATTTCCCACGTGGAGATTTGATTTATAAACAAGGTTGTTTTTGCTGCAGTTTTAGGGTGTGTGACTAATTTTTGGAATATAACCTGCTGGTTTTATTTTAGCTTGCGAGCTAGCCTCATTTCCCCTCTATTAATTCGTTTCGATTTTCTACCTCTTTTTCTCTATTCACAGTTCCCGCCCCATCTATATATTTCTCATAATTTATATATGTTGTAAGGTATTGTGTTCTAAGGTTGTGTTATTTTTTTTAAGTTGAAACTTGAAAGTGTTGTTGTGTCTTGTTAGTTGTAAGCGTTGTTGTGTTATGTGCTCATGTTCATCTATGTTTAAGGAAGACAAGTTTGTTTTAATTTGCAATCTTAAAATAGTTTTTTTGGTTGAATCATAAACAAATCAAAATTTAACCTTAGTGGAACACTGGAACCCAAAATCAATTGACCTTGAGAGAGAACTTAAAAAAAATGTATAGTTAAAGGCTGTTAGTAACTTATTTGCAACTAAACACAAATGAAATAAAATTTAAACTAAGTCGACATAAACAAATATTTATTGGTTTGACTTCTTAATTTATGATCGATTCACTACTGAAGCTCCTTTTTGCAAATTTTCTATTAGACCTTTGTATCTTTTCTGGTGGCGCTCAAGTAGCCTCCCTTTTGGATCAAGGATTATTCCACAATTCTTTTCTCAGGAAGGATTAAACCCACAATTTTCTTCCCTTTCTTGGACAAGGAAGCACTATATTCTTTTTTCAGGTTTAGTGATGAACCACTTTACAATAATGCTTTTGCGGAGAATGTGCTAGAAGAATTATCAAAAGAAAATAACTCTTTAAATTGAAAGGTTTTAACACTCAAAATATACATCCGATAAAACCAATCAAAACCATTTTCAGTTGAATATTAAGATGCAAGGAAAAAAGAGAAACCTTATTTTACTCCTAAGAAGTGACCTCCTTAAGCCCTGGACCACTGAAAATTTACAGGAATCTTAAGGAAAGCAGGGAGTGATTGCAAGAATAAGCTTAAGATTGCTTGAGAGCAAAATATAAAGCAGGCTTGAGTTGGCCTATTCTTTATGGAACTGAGGATGTGGAGAAGGTTGGCCAAAGGAGGGAAAATATCTCTTTTAATCCCCTAGAATAATTCTAATTTCATCAGTTAACCAATAGGAATGATCATAATTATTGGATAGGAATCCCATTGTTCAAGGTTGTAAACTAAACCATTGAAAGGTTCGCAATTGTAACCTTTCATCTTGTAAACATATATTAACTGGATTTTCAGTTTGCCTCAGTAAGAAGGCGTTTAGGAAGTGTTATTTCCACTTCCCTCTTAAAAAATACTTGAGGGGTTTAATTATGCCATAATTACCTGGAACTCGAAGGGATATGAAGTTTCATTTTTCTCTTGAGTAATCAAGTATCTTAGAAGTGACTTCTCCAACTCTTTTAAAAATGCGAATTGCTAGGTCCTCCCAACCATCTTGAAAAAACATGTTCAATGGTCTTGAGCTATCATTCCCAACTCAGCATATCTTTCATCTTATTTTTAAGTAACATTTTAGGTAGTCTTATTATTATCTTTTTTAAATTGTTAAATCCTTTAAAAATTGGCTTGCATTAAAATTTCATCACCGCAAATTTTTTTAATTAGAATTTTTTATTAGAAGTTATCTAAGAAGTAGAAATCATGTGAAAGCTCATCAATCAATTTTGAGGTGCCTTATGAAATTGAATTGAACATAACCTCATAAAATTCCTAGTCTAAAAAAGATCCTTGTATTTTGAATAGCTTACGTAGTTTTTTTCTTTTTTGGCGGATCTCTTCCAAACAAGATTGTTTTTGTCCAGTTGTCACTTGTGAAGATTGAGCATACCTAACCCAATTGCTGTCTTCTCCAACTATCATTCCCTATTTTGCTTCCGTTCTCTACTCCCATTCTCCTTGCCACTGCGGCCATAGTCAACCCCTGCCCTTCCTTTACTCTTCACCATCCCTTGATGCGTTGTCCCATTCTCCTCCCCCTCCCTCTCTTTTGTAGTGAGCCATCCTTTTTGTTCTCTTTCACATACACAACACTTAGACATACACATCTTAAGTTAAGTGCTTGAGGAGGGGTAGAGTGGTCTAGATGTGGGGTAGGGAGTGGATATCTTCTTAGAGAGTGGAGGCAACATGATTCTCTCACTCTCCCTAGTTGCCTCTCTCTCTCTCTCTCTCTCTTCCTCATCTTTAGATTGTTTTAGCTCCTTCCGATTGAGGCAAATTGGGTGGGTATCATGATGGTCAACTAGTCCCAACCCAAGTTGAGATAGCTTATCGCTCAAAACCTCGAAACCCTTCCATTTTTCTGCCTCATGAATTAACCCTTATTTTTTTTCCTCCCCTCAACCTCTTTAATTGCAAAGAAAGTTCAGAACTTCTTGGTAAAGAGGATAAAGAAGGTTGGCGGTTAGGAAAGTAGAGATGGAAGGTTGAGGACATTTGGTAAGTGGTAGCTGAGTAACTCTTTCTTTTCTTATCATTTATCTTCTTTACGTGGTGGAGGCTTCTTCAAATTGGACTCGAAAAAGGCTTCTTTGCTTTGGACTTCGGAGAATGGAGAGCCATACACTGATTCCCATGTGAAGAGTATATTAATTCGGTAGGGTTGTTACTTACTGCTTGCTTCATTTAATTATTTTTCTGTGGACTGAATTAATTTGGTTGAATCAGGTTTTGTGCTTGAAAGTAAATTCTGATACTTCTGTTTTCTGGCTCCTGATTTTAGCTAATATTTAGGTTTATTCTGCCGTTGTGGTTTATTTGAAGGACTTTTTTATAAGGAAATTTTTTGTTCAGATTAGACTTGGGGTTCAAAATTTTCAACGGTCTGATTATGTGAAAATATTCGCAATCATTGGAAAATATCATAATCTTCATGCTCGCTCAGAAGAAAATATGATATATTTAACAATTTTTTGTTTCGCATACAATTATAGGTTGTCTGAATCTTTTCTTCATTGAAATGTTTACATTGATGTGATACTCAGAGTTTGTGTAATTCTCTCTAAAATTATTGTTGTAAACAAGCGAGGGACTTAATTTATTTGTTTCTCTCTTCTTCAAATATTTCTGCTTCTTTTTTCTATTTCTAACGGTTTTATTTTTCATGAACCAAAGATAAAACCTTGGGATGATACATGGATCATTGTCTATTGAAATGCAGATGGCTAGATGGGATGAAATTTTGAGTCTTCCGGTGCAGAGTCCACCAAACATAGAATTCTCTGCTGCTGACATTGTGTGGTCCAGAGTGGAAGGCTGGCGTGAGACCATGGACAAACTGGCACTAATCCCATTCTCCAGAGTGAATGATTTTGTCAGAGGTGAATCAAACAACAAGGATTGTCCTACCAGATTTCATGTTGAAGCGAGGAGAAGACGGTCACCAGAGATGGCCAACAAACTAAAGGTTGATGGAATTCTCGAGTATATTCTGTAAGGGTCTTACAAAAAAAATTTCTGCTTGGTTGCTTGAACTACTTGGAATTAATATGAGTGCAGTTGTTTGTCTCTATATAATGTTTTTGGACCAGTACAATAGCGGTTGGGCTAATTTTTGACCTAATTGCACTAATGATAACTATACATTTAAGGTGGATTGTGTCCTTAGTTTATGTTGTCAACTATAACCTTTTTTTTTCAGTAGTTTTTAAGGAGCGGTTATTTTTAATGGATACAACGAGAAGTGTGCATGGGCTGCTATCCTGAATGAAAAAATTAGAGGGTCGTATTAGGTAGTCAACAATCAGCATAAAACTTGTCGAATAATCATGACATGAGTTGTTTAATATATCGTGTTGATGCTTTGACCTTGAAAGTGACGTGTTGTATGGCTTGAATACTGCCAGAGGTATACAAGGGCTGCTGCATTGGTGCTCGGGTGTAGTGTTAAATAGGCAAGTGTTCCCACATCATGGATTGATGTGGGCAAAGAAACGAGTCCATGAAACTAGAATTAGGATATAATCTTGGAATGTAGGTTCCCTTATAAGTAAATTAATGGAATGAATTGATATTATGATTCATATGAAGATAAATATTCTATGCATTTAGGAAACTAAATAGATTGGAGAGAAGGTTAATGTGATTGATAGTTTATGATTTAAACTTTAGTATTCTGGTAAGAGTCGTAATAGAAATGGTATAGGTGTGATCATACTATCATAGATAAGAGTTTGAAGGATAATATTGTGAAAATTGATAGAATTGAATATATAATTATAGCTTTGATGATTATTGTTGATGCTAAGATTATTAATATTATAAGTGTCTGCTCCTCAATTAGATTTGGATGTGTTCAAAATTAAAATTTTGGAATGATTTAAAAAAAATTAATATAAAATATACATCTTGAAGAAAAAAGTTTTTATTGAAAGAGATTTAAATGGACATGTTGGTAGAGGGATAGAAGATTTTAAAATTATTAATGATGGTTATGAGTTTGGAGCGACTAATGAAGGTGGTATGACTATATTAGATTTTGCTATAGCTTATGATTTTATAATTGTTAATAGTTAATACTTTATTTAAAAAAGTGATGTGCATCTCATCACTTATAAAAATGGATATAGTAAAACTCAGACTGATTATTTTCTTATAAAAAATAGATTGTTTAGATTACAAAGATTATAAAGTTATTCCGAGTGATATTTTATCCAACATCATTTATTAGTTTTAGACTTTAAGATAAATGGGCAAAATTTGAAAAACAAAATAAATTGTTGTTCTAGGATTAGATTGGGGCATTTAAAGAACTCTAATAAAAATATTTTTGGGAATATGATTCGAGATCTTATGATTTTGTTTGTGTATGAGGTAGCTAATATTATGTAGGAAAAATAGCTAGTAATATTAAGAATGTTGCAAAGGATGTACTTAGAGTATCAAAAGGAAAAGCTCATAATAGTAAAAATAGTTGGTGGTGGAATCAAAATGTGCAAAAAAGTTAAAAAAATAAAAATAAAAAACTTTGTTATACAAATTGGTTTAGATGTAAAAAATCTAAAAATTGGGAAAGATATAAAGGGACCCGTAAGGAGTTTAAGAAAGCATTCTTTGATGCAAACATTATTTTCTTTTAATGATTTATATAATAGATTAAATACTAAAGAATGCGAAACATATATATATAAGTTAGCCAAACAAAGAAATAGAAGTAATAAGAATTTAGTTCAAGTGAAGTGTATTAAAAATGAAAATAAAAAATATATATATTTTTAGAAGAGGATATTCAACAAAGGTGGATAAGATATTTTGCTAAGCTTTTAAATGAAGATTGTGAAAAATCGATTGACTTTAGTGATCTTAGCAATCTATAAGAAAATAGAGATTTTTATTTTTATCGGCGTATTAGTAAAACTAAAGTTAGCGAGGCTTTGAAGAAAATAAAATGTAGAAAAATTATTGGACTTGATGATATTCCAATAGAGGTGTGTAAATGCTTAGGCAATGAATGAATGCCTTGGCTTACTAAACTTTTTAATTTGAAGACAAAAGATATCATATGAGTGGAGAATGAGTGCGTTGATTCATATTTATAAGAATAAAGGTGATGCACAAGATTGTGTGAATTATAAAACAATTAAATTGATGTGTCATAGTTTAAAACTATGGAGAGAGCTATGGAGCATAGATTACGTCGTGATACTAATATTTCTCAAAATCAATTTGGATTCATGTTGGTCAGGTCTACTATGGAACTTATACATTTATTAAGAGGTTTGATAGAGAAATATAGAGAAAATAAGGATGATATACATATGATTTTTATTGTGATAATATTCCAAGATAAGTGCTATTGAGAGTTCTAGAAAAGAAAAGAGTTAATAATTCTTGTACAAGCCATTAAGGATATATGTATGCAGGAGCTGTCACTTGTGTTCAAAGACAAGGTGGTTTGAGCAAGTATTTTCCTATTGTAGTTGGGTTACATCAAGGATCAACCTTAAGCCCATATCTTTTTGCTTAGTCATGGATGTTCTTAGATTAGATTTAAATGAGAAATTGACTATTAAAATGACACAATGGATAAAAAGGATTCATGTAGCCAACCCCATATAGTGGGATAAAAGCTTGATGTTGTTGTTGTTGTTGGTTTTTTTTTAATGGATAGAGTTTTTTCTTCTCTTTTTGTGATTGGGTTGGTTGGATGCAGGTATTGGTGTTCTTTTGGACCAGATGATCACAGGAAGGGAGGTGTTGTTCGCCCCAGCAGGACCTATTGCACAAAGAGAAAGACTCCTGCTGGTAGGCCAAACACAAAAAGGGGTTGTGTATGCCATTTCATTGTGAAGCGTCTAATAGCTGAACCGTCTGTTGCACTTGTCATATACAATCAAGATAAGCATGTAGACAAGAAAGGGCTACCTTGCCATGGACTCCAGGATACAAAATCTGTGGGAACCTCTGCAATGTTTGCACCATGTATCTCAGATGAGCTCCGTCTTCAAATTATGTCCTTATTGTATGTTGGGGTCCCCGTAGAAACTATCATGCAGAGGCATACTGAAGCAGTAGAGAAGCAGGGAGGGCCAAGCAATAGGGATGATCTTCTCACTCACAGGTACGTACGCAGGCTAGAAAGGAAGATTAGGCGTTCCACATATGAATTAGACCCTAATGATGGTATTAGTAGTAATATGTGGGTTGAAATGCACCGGGATCATGTGTTCTTTTATGAGGACTTCTCTGATTCTGAACCTTTTGTTTTGGGGATTCAAACGGATTGGCAGCTCCAACAAATGATTCAGTTTGGTAACCGCAGTGTTATAGCCTCTGATTCAAGGTTTGGCACAAATAAGCTAAAGGTTTGTTGAGGTTGTATGCTTGCTGCTGTGTCATTGTTGTCTTTTTGTTGATATATAATCATCTCTGTACTATTTTGCAGTATTCCGTTTATAGTCTCCTGGTCTTCGACTCAAAAAGGAATGCAATCCCTGTAGCATGGATTATAACAGCAAGATTTTCCAGCGGCGAGATACACCGATGGATGCGATCTCTTTATGACAGGATTCGTTCAAAAGATCCAACATGGAAATTGGGTGGTTTCATTGTTGATGATCCTTTAGCTGATGTGAATGTCATTAGGTTGACTTTTTGTGAATCTTTTATTCTTTTATATGTTTAGTGTTTGCAGCAATTATGCTCGAAACGCCAACTTTATTTTATATCATGTAGGGAGGTCTTTCAGTGTTCTATTTTGATAAGTTTCTGGCGTGTACGCCATTCCTGGCATAAAAATTTGATGAAAAAGTGCTCAGACATAGGAATGCAAGTGGAGCTGTCAACGCGACTTGGAGAAATTGTTTCAAACATTTGCAGGGATCGGGCTTCCCTGGATTCAGTTCATGATTTTATAGAAGACTTTGTTGATTGCTTGGATTTTTTGGATTATTTTAAGGGAGTTTGGTTTCCAAAATTAGGTAATTTCTCGTCTATCTCAACCTTTGCTATCCTGTACTCTCTCTCTCTGACAACTATTGATCTATGCGATACAATATTGCATTGGACTTGGATCCTCTTCAATACCATGGTAATTAGTTATACTGTTCATTTTGGGCGGTGGTGGGATCAATTCTTCCATCTTTCCAAGGCCAGTATGTATTTTTTGAATCCATCCTAGGGGTGCAACCGAGTCAAGCCGGCTCGTGAGCCAGCTTGGGCTCGACTCATTAACGGGCTCGACGAGTCAAGCTCGAACACAATTTTGAGGTCGAAGGCTTAACGAGTCTGAGTTCGAACACTACGCTGCTTGACTCGAGAGCTTGTCGAGTAGCTCGCGTAAGAGAAGATGATGCAGGCGAGAGCGGGATTCGGGAATTAGATTTCGTAGGCAGGAGGGAACGGGATTCGCAGGTGGGAGCAAGATTCAGGAATCAGATTTTGTAGGCGGGATCGGGCTTCGACGGAGCTCGCGACTTGGGAGGACGAACTTGCGGCTTCGACGACGGGAAAACGGTCGGTGTAGCTTGGGACGATGAGCGGGATTCACGGACGATGCATGTCGGGAAGGAGCTCGACGAGCCGCTCTACTCGACTCATTTCGTGAGATGAGTCGAGCTCGAGCTCATCTTTCGAGCTTGACTCGAGCTCGGTATTTGACAGTCAAGCTCGACTCGAACACCCCCTGGCACGAGCTCGACTCGATTCATTTGCACCCCTAATCCATCCTAACGGCCCTAATGGTGGAAATTGGACCTTCCAATTACGACATCAATTATAGTGTCTGTTGTTCATCAACCTCATTTCCCTTTCCTCTTCGTTATTTTTTTTTTTTCTTTTTGTGCAGGAGCGTGGACTAATATCTTGAAGTCACTTCCACTTGCTAGCACAGAGGTTTCTTCTGCCACTGAGTGTTACCATAATCAACTCAAACTTCGATTGTTGAATGAGAAAGATTCAAATATCTACCAACGTGCTGATTGGCTGGTTGATAAATTAGGTACCAAGGTGCATTCTTATTACTGGTTGGATGAATATAGTGGCAAGGATAACTTTGCCAGATACTGGAAAGATGAGTGGAAATGTGGCTTGACCGCTTGGCGTCGGGCTTTGGATATTCTTGATTCCGATGTTGTTTTTGATGGCAACTCTGCTACAGTTGTTCATCCTGCGAATCCTCGACACGTTCATCTTGTCCTGAATCCAGGCTCTGAATTTGCAATATGTGACTGCAACTGGTCAAAGATGGGGAACCTCTGTGAGCATGTGATCAAATCAAGTAAGATTTATCGTCACAACAGATCTAACTCACTCTCAACTAGCATGTTTCAATACAAGAGGACTTTGATGAATCTGCTTAAATGCCCCCCACACAATTCTCTGTTGCGTGATCATGCTATTTCATTAGCTGCATCTGTTCAGGCTCAGTTGAATTCACTGTTCGCCCAGGAATTTTGTGCTTCCCGCACAGGCAAGTCAGTTCCCTTGGAAGAGAGAGTAACAGCTGAACCCACTTCTACTTCCAACAAAGCACCTAATAATGTTAATGATATGTTGAATAAGAATCAAGAAGCTCCTCTTGAGAATTTCAGCATTGCTGGAGCTTCAATTCAGCCTACTGAGAAATCTCCAGCTGGTTTCATGGCTGCTGAGGAACAAATCTCTGCTGGTAAGGCTAGTGAAAGTTTGCCCAGCGAGGGGCCAAGCTTGGATTCTCGTGTGTACCAGCGGCTACATTCAAGAGATACAGTAGATGATAATATTAATGAAGTTGCAATCACTAAGAAAATGAAGAAAACTGATCAAAGCTCCATAGAAAGCTTTCAATCAGTGACAGAATATGGAGTTACAGAAGGACTTGCAGAGGACAAATGCGACAGAAACTTCTCTGATGTTCATGAAAGAAGAACAGATGTGGATGATAGTTGTGCGCCAAGTAAGCCGTCAGCTTCCATTGTAGTCGCAGAAAACCATAGCATTGGTGATGAGAAGACTGAGATTTCTTCAACTGTGGATGATAGTTTTTGTGATGCTAATGGATTAAATGATCCTGCTTATCATGGGAACGGTGTTGCTTATTGTTCAAGAATCATAGAGGAACCATCCTCTGATTTTCGTCAAGCTAGTATTGTGAAGTTTGAAAGTGCGGATGTAAAGGTTTGCATGGACATTGATGTTCTTAGATCTGAAGAAAAGGTCTGTGATAATGGTGATAATGTGGAAGTGTATTAGTCCAAATTTTTTACTTGTATTTTATCTCAGTCATAAAATTTTCACAACTAAAAGCACATATGAATAAGCTAAAGCATAGAGGGATGTTTTTGTTTTTTCGGAACGGGGGTATCTACCATAAGAGATTTAAGCTTCCTTTGAGATGGTTGTTTTATTATTTTATTAAATTAAATAAAAATATCTTGCATGTAAAGAATAAATAGTTATATAAAGTTGTCCGAAATGAAATTTTAAAAATATAGAGGGAGAGAGAAGAGAGAGCTTGGAAATAAGAGAGAATATTATGTGCAGAGTCTTGATGTAGAGAACCATTTGGTTTTGTGATTGTGAACAATAAAAGTGTAGTTACTGTTCATCATTGTGCCTTTATTTTTTACAGTCATAAAATTGAACGATTCTCTTCGTCTGGACTCCGCATGTATCTTAGAGCTCGTAGATTTTGTTTATCGGGCAAGTTGCAAAAAAATTGCCCTTACATTGTAAGCGGCATTTAACATAGTTAAAATTTCAACTTGCCCATAATTTTTTATATTTTATTTTCCTAAATTTCATATTATTTAGATATACAAAGATTTTGAAAAGGCATATGTAATTTTTTATATAACTATTTTAATAAAATATTGCGTTACATTTAATTAAAATATTATGAAAATGATATATAAATAATTTAATTAATATAAAATTAATTTTAAAATGTTATATTCAGGTTAATAATATTTATATAAATATTTTAGTTAT